GTATTTTATGCATATGTAACAATACATTATTATGTATACAATATTAGCTGTAACTAATATAAGTTTGCATAAATGTTGAATTGCATTGCACGTCCTCTACTAAAATATAGATTTGGCCAATGTTTTAAAATGTTCTTGTAGTGTATAAAGAATGAAAGAATATACTTGTACGAATAATACCAACATATATATTCTTTCGTACTGATTACATCATGAGACCACTTTAAAATATTTTTAAGGAGACGTACATCTCCTTAAAAGTAATAAAATATGAAGACACACATATATATAGTGTATTTAAATGATATTTTATAAATTACATTGGAAGGGAATGTGAGATTTTGATCTCTCAATAAATTGTCATCAAAACATTTTTATTTATTTAATTTTTNGGAAAGCCATTTGCAGATTGGGGGGTGGTAAATCGTCATATACGACGGCATCGAATAAATGGAGAAGAAAAAATGGAGAAGACAAATCAGATGATAAAGAAAGCCAAAACAAAGAAAAACTTTTGAAACTTTCAAGTCTTTCGACTAAAATGGTTTTAAGTGGAGAAATGGACATATATGAACAATTATATGAAAGATTGGACTTTCTTATTAAAGAAAGTAAATTTGTATGGTCATCAATCTCAACTTCAATATCATATGTTATCTAGAGAAGAAACTATGATGATGATAATTGAATTTTTATTCACCTAAATAATTTAGATGATTAAAATATATATACATATATTTTAATTATGTATAAATATAAAAATAAAATTACCTTAAACATAACATTTCTTATGCCCACTTCACTTGTTTTCATAAATATACAAGTTTTTATCTATAAAATAAATATTTTAATTTTATATATTTATATAAAAAAATTTATTAACTAAAACAAAATTTCACAACCATACCAAATAACTAAATTTATTTTCATTTGTAATCTTATCATTAGCATAGCATAATTTATAAATTCATTATTCAGAAATAAAAAATAAAACAAGATGTTTTAAGTTTTTATTTAAAAATACATTTAAATTAATATTTAGATTATTTTATTTTACAAATTTTTTGTAAGGTGAATGAGGAAAATGTTAATTAATTTATGCACCTGCTATTAAAAAATTTAAATGTTTTTTTTAACTTTTTTAGATAAGCTCTGCACTTGTAAAGTTACAGAGATATTTTATTAATTAAATTGACTGAATTTATAGTTACTTTATAATAATATTGCCATTTAATATTTTTTTTGTTGGATATAATTGATAATTTTAAATTATCTAAAATAATTTCAAATTACTCAATTTTATATGATCCTATGCAAATCAATCCTTACTTTTTGGGAAGGTGTTATTTCTCCTAGTTGAATATTGTTTACAAATTGAACAGGTTCTTTATTTGACTTATTTTGACTTTCTTGATAAAAGAAAGCTAATTAAAAATAAATTATTATTATTATTATTATTACACAAGAAAAATAAATTAATTTTAAATTACATGTAACAATAACACACATACAACAAATGTTCCATAACATTATAATGGAGCTGAAAATTTGTAGCTGCCCATACCTTTTCTATGTTTAGACATCTTTAGATACACAAACACTTCATTGTATTGCAATTGTATTAGATATAGCCTATATTAGTAAGCTATACCATATAAGATTTGTATAAGTATACTCTGGGGCAGGGGTGTCCAACCCTTTTGTTCCTCTGGGCCACATTGGGAGAAGTCATGGAGTTTTGGGCCACAAGTATATATTTGTAACCCAATCCTTAAATATACAAGTATATTTAAGGATTAACATGTCTAGATTATAGTAATAAGTATTAAAACTTTATCATGAAAAAGGATATTTTAAAAAATTACTTCTACAGACCCTTTCAATTTTTACTTAGCAATAAATAAATTCATTTATTATAAAGGAGACAGACAAAAATTTATTTGAAAAACACAAATATTTGTTTTATTTGGGTCTCTAATTAATAAAAACTGACGAAACACCATTTTAAACTGCATTTTTATTCAACTAATATATTTATAAACAATATGTAGCCCAAAAAGTAGCCAACGTGCAAAATGATAATTTTTACGCCAAACTAAAAAAAGGGTAGCCAAATCTTGCAATGCTGGAAAGAGTACTAAATAATGCTGGAGTTGGAACTCAAAGAATTATAGACACAAAGTTGAGAAAAGGAGAGAAAGGCCAAAAGATAAAAAGTAGTGAGGAAGGTTGGAAAATTAAGGGTCAATACTTGCATAACAGAAGGTCTATTAAACCTTTCTCACTGCTTTTTATCTTTTGGCCTCTCTCTCCTTTTCTCAAATTTGGGTCTATAATTCTTTGAGTCACAACTTCAGCTTTATTTAGTATTCCTTCGTCATTCACACATCTCGAAGTATAGCTAAACACCAACCGTATGCCGAAAATCCATCGAACTATTTTAAGGCTAATTAATAAATGAATTACGTAACCAATTTGGTTCTAGAGGTAAGCATTAGGCGCCATCTCTTATTAACATTAATAATTATAAATAAATTAATTAAATCTCGAAGTATTTGAAAATATTTCCTTTTCACTCAAAAACAAATATGCATAAAGGTTTACGGCTTTGTAAAATTTCTTTTCTGAGTTTATGCCATTGAAATAAATAAATAAATAAAAAATAAAACAATTTGTCGGTTTTGTTTACATGTTTATTGGGCTGCGGGTTGGACACCCCTGCTCTATGGTGTTTACTTAAAGAGATATTTCTCAGAATGTATCCCTGTTGTTAAATGATTTTTATGTTTAAATGTTGTTAAATTTTAAAGGTTTTTTTTTCAAAAAATTCTTTGTTTAATTAATTGAATTTCAAATCATCAAGCAATCAAAAATTGCTGTTTCACAGTTAATATCAACATTTTACAGTGAAAATGTTTAATTTTGTATCCAATTTGATTCAAAACATGCATGATTTAGAAAATGTGTACTGAATTCAAAACTTCTGATCTGAATACACTTAGATCTCACATTAGTCTTTCATAGTTGTTCACGAAAATATCATCTATCTATTCCACTAATAACATCTAAAACACAAATGACATTCATACTTAAAAATTCTTAGTGACTATAAAGAAAACAAAATAGAAATTTCCATTCCCAAAAAGAGATTGAAGAGAAAGATATAGTCTAAACCTGACACTGGACATGTGTAGAAAGTTCATATTAAATCTAGTTTCTAATCATTTAAAAACACAGCAATCAAGAAACATCATTCTTAAAATGTGCTTTTTTTTCTGCGATTTTGACAAGTTTTAAACTGTGGTTGAGATCTAGAACCTATCTCTACAAGCCATCCATTATTCTTCACTAGCATTTCTAAATAATAAAATATTCCAATATTCAGAATTTAAATAATCACGAAAAATATTTTTTTTGTTGGATATAGAGAAAGAAAAGTCAAGAAAGAAAGAAAGAAAGTAATGACAATTAATTAAAGTTTCAAACTAACATCTCACTAGCATTGGAGAGAAGATTCATTATTAAGTACTTAATGTGGAATAAATATTGCTTATAAATCAAACTGAAATGACAATACTTACTATTTTCAGTTAACACAGTTGGAGAATCATGCAAGTTGACTGTCAATACTACATTCTTTATTGGATTAAGTTCTTCGTTTATTATTTCTACACTTAAAGCATAAAATTCATTCACCAAAGAAGGTGGTTGATGTTCTACACTTAGTTGTATACATGGATGTCGAGGAACAATACTGAAATTAATATACCAAAAACTTTAATAGAATTAAAAAGCTTGATTCCATCTAACAAATAAGTTATTAAAATAGTCTATCAAGATCTAATACCATAATTACCATAAAAATAATATGTTAAATTAATCATATTGCATCTTATTCTTTTACTATAAAATAATTACTTTATCTAACATCTCTGATTATATTATTTTGAAATAATTTACATTTGTGAAGAATTAAAAACTTTTAAGAATAAATTAAATTAAGATGTACTGTTTGTAGAAAAATAGAACAGAATCATTTCATATAAAATGCTACACGCAGTATTAAAGATAATGCTTTTTCACTTCGTAATAACTTTACAGATTTTAAATTACAATAAAATTTTTATTTTTTTACATTAAAAAAAATAATGGTACTTGATTATATATAATACTTTTATGCATTTAGAATCTTTTAAATGTGTGATTATATTCTATTTGCTTAAATTAAATAGAGATCCCTTTAAAATGTTTTATTTATGTTATATTTTATTTATTTATTTTCTAAAAATGAAGTTTTATATCTAAAAAAACAATTAGACAATTTATTAAAATTTTTTGGACTTCTACAAAAGTATTGGATTGTTTTGTGTCTAAGAAACCAGAGCACAAGAACTATATGACTATTGTTAACTTTCTATAAATTCATAAATATGAAATTATGCCTAATTATAGTTAAGGATAGATAATTCATAAATGAATGAATTAATTTATGTATAAAATAATTAAAGACCTGGTACTGCTATATATAACTAAATGTTGTAAATTAATATCCTCTTTGAATAACTCCTCACTCCAAGGTAGAAATGAACTTGGATTATCTGCATTTCCTACAGTACACTGTAGAATAGCACAGATGCTGCTTTCAGAACCCAACTGTAATGCAACTGATGATATCTAATAAAAATTTAAATTATTAATTACTGAAAATGTTTCAAATCTAACTCATACTTTGAATGATTCAAATCTTAAATTTTATGGCTGTTAAATTAATTCAAAAAATAACCATATTTATTTCTTAAAAATAAAAATGTTTAATATCGCTCAATTGCTTTTAGCAAAAACGTTTTCGAAACTAAAACTTTGAATATTCAAATAATAAAATTAAAAATAACAATGATTTAGGAAATTTCTTTCTATTCTTATTTAAATAATTTCTTGAAGATAATGTAAATTTCTTCTAAGTGTACATCATCATTAATATCGATGTTATCGGAAGCTTGATTTTGAAAGGTCATTATATAATGAAGTCAATTAAATGCAATGAGAGAGAACTTTTAAAACATCTTTTCCAATTTTGTCTGTGCGAAATAGGGACAAAAGGAAAAAAAGACATTTTAAAAGTTAATTTATAACAGCTTTAATATTTAATATATGCAAAAGTCTTATAAGATAAAGCAAAAGTGTTTTTATATGAATGCTACTGGCTAATGTTTAGTTGTATTGACATTTTTTTATATATAATTACCATATTTTTTAAATTTTATTATATGCTGTAATTATGGGTCATTTGATATAATGCCACTACGTAAATATATTATACAGCAAGCTAAATCATGCTAACTTCATATCAAATGATCACAGATGGATTCTGTATTAATTTTGTCTGTAATTCCTAAATGAATAATAACGTCACAGTGCAAACAATAGCAAAGATTTTGACAAAAATAATAAAGTTTATTAAATAGTCAACTTAAAAATGTTTAAATCTTTTAAATCATTTTTAAATTGACTATTTGATTAATTTATTTAATAAACTTTATTATTTTTGTCAAAATTTTTGCTATTGTTTGCACTGTGACATTATTATTTATTTAAGTATTCTTTTATTTGAAATTAATACAAACTATTTTTAGAAATATGTTTTATATAATCTATTTTCTCTCTACAACTTAATTTATTTAGATGTGATAAATTTTATCTGTATCTGTAAATACAGTGGAACCCCGGTTAACAAACGTCCTGGTTAATGACCAAATCAGTTAACGAACTTTTATTTTGCAAAAATTTTGTCTCGGATAACGAACGTAACGGTATTTTGTGTCAAATTTTAGTTGGTGTTAGGCATGCGCGAGTTAAGCATTGCTTTTCCGAGTGTTTGTGCTAT